GATCGTGGAAGGAATATACTATAGTAGTAATGATAGGAGAGTATTTGTATTTTAGAATTTTATCTTTATTTCTTTTTTTTTTTGTAGCAAATTGCACTTTTTTGCCTTTGTAGTACTTTTCGATCGAGAATAGTATTTTTTGTTTAACCGAAGTTAACATAGTAAAAATTAAATATCTATTAAATGTGTGTGACCACTAATATTATCAAAACTAATGCATAATATGCTTTCGATGAATGATTTTATGACACGCTGTAGCACAATCACAGAGGTTCAGTATGATTTTGTCATAACATAATTATATTATTAACACAAAAATATTTCTACAAAATGGCTTGTTTATTAAACTACAATTGGAAGCAACAATTGATGAAGCGGTCAACATGAGAATATTTTGCAAATAATCCATTTTTGCGCACATTATGTTTACGAAAAGGTCGATTTTTATGTTTTTATTGTTTTTATCTTATATAGACAGGATATTCCAGAATTATCGCGCAATATTTCAGGTATATTTGATAAATTCGTAATCGAGTTTTGTAACAAAAATATGTTGATATATTTCATTTTGTTGTAATTTTCAATTTTCAATAAATATTTTTGTAATTAAAGCTATACATTCCTTCTTGCAGCTTAAAAGTAGCTGTGATTACTGCACATTCCTAGGAAAAAAATTGAATTCCAAATTGCTCCAAAATTATCGATGAAAATTCTGCGCGATAGATATTTGAATATTCTGCATATTTTTTACGTCTGATTACATTTATTTTCAAAATAGCAACTGCATTAGTTAACTACTAATTACGCCTAAGAAAATAATTGTGAAATGGCACGTGTGTGCGTGTGTATGTATGTATGTTGTGTGTGTTGAGAGATGGAAAAAATAATTTGAAACATCCTCAAATTTTTCATATTAGACAGTATAGCACGGTGTCACCCTATCGTGAGTAAAATTACATACTGTGCATATATAACGTTGCTACATTAGTTTTTCATAAATACCTACAAAATCTTATCATTGACAGTGAATAATAATTCATATATACCTCCTTATTATATTAAAATATATGAACTGGCCTAATTGATTGTATTTTGACAGCACGTTACACATAAGTCGACCATGTAGAAATAAGAGTTAAACCTGATAAATTTCCGTTCGTAAATCGCTTGGAAGTTTCTAGCTTTCCTTACACATTCTATTTTATTTAGGAAAAGATCTCATTTAGTCGTAATCTAGTCGTAGAAGATTGAGCATATATTACTGCTCATATTACGATTTTTCTCGTAAGTGTGAATGTTTTGTATAAATAGCCGCATTTAACAGAGAAAGCAGTTTTACAATTGTAAAATTCTTTAATATATTTGATTTATATAATTTTACTCGAAATATATAATACATATAACGTATACTATACTATATCGAGTAAAACTTTCCTCGGAGAGGACGTTTTGAAATGTAGCCTTAGATTCAGTGAAGAACTAAGCAAAACCAATTATATTAAAAAATTTTACAACAGTTGTAAAGCTGCTTTATCTGCTGAACGCAGTCATTGAATTCACTGGGTGGCACACACTACTGCAACAAAATATATCAATGTAGTAAATATAATTAGAGAAAAGTACTTTTCGTTGAATAATGCTAGGATATTACGTATATACCAATGCATTTTGATGTGCATATATTGAAATCGCATTTCTCCCAAGAGAAGCATTTCTCTAGCAGCTAATATAATATTCACCTTTAAATCTATGTAATCTGTTTTAGTATAATTGTACACATATGATATCTAGGTGGAATACTCGAACAATCATGGCATTAATTATGAATTTTACTATCTTATCATGTTTGATAAAAAATAATTTCTAATTACCAAATAATTGCTGTCAAGTATAGCTCATATACTTTATGATAAACGGTAACTAAGCGGTCTAAAAACATTCGGTAAGCATGACGGTTTTGTCTAAAGCTAAGATTTGATAAAGTTTCATGTTATTATTTCAAATCCTGAAGGTCAAATATCATTGAAAATGCAATTTTTCGAAATTTAAGCAAATCGATACCGGTGGCTTCAACTTTATCATTCCATTTATCGCATTTTAGTGAATATTAGTGATATTTTAACGACATTTTTAGTGATATTTTAGTGATATTACAGTGATATGTTTAATAAATATTGAGCGGTCTTTAAAAATTTGTAGATTTTTTAAATATAAATGTTAAATATAAAAATTAAACATACTTGGATGCAGAAATGTGGAATATTTTTTTAGGCTGCTCGATATTGTTATATTATGTTTTATTGTTATAATTCCATACATTAGCAATTGATAATTGTCATATTCATTAATGTTTTTCATTTATTATACATATACATATATGTGTATATATATATATATATATGTTTTCAGGAATGATATTAATGAATGCTATGATAATTATATTTAATTGTATAATATTGCTGTTCCATTAAAACAACTTTATTAATGTTAAATGTTTACCTGTTTAGGATCTATCAACAGGTTAAAGACAACATCTTACGTTTGTGTCTAATCAGCATTAGAAAAACTTTGTGACACAGAACGATATACGTAGATTCTATTGTGATTATTATCACGATTTTATTATTCACTTGTAAATTAAATATGAATTACAAAGGCTCTTTGTACATAATGGTTGCAATAATTATTTTGTTTTATATTATGTATAATATACTACTGTGTATCAAATAAATCAGTTATAATTTTATTCTTTCCCGTATAAAAGATAGAAAGAAAAAGAGAGGATGATAAGAAGCGATACTTGTGTATGAAAAACGCGTGTTTTAAAAAAAGTATAAATAATTTTTGTAGATATCCGCGTTTATTCGATCTTTCAGGTATCTACATTAAAATTTCATGATGAAGAAATGGAAGCAGGATTGCCATTTTAATGCGGATTTTGTTCTATGAAGGAATGATTTCTGTCTGACAGATATCTCCCAGAAATCGCCTCTGGATGGTAAACACAATGTCACGAAATAAATAGCGATGCTTAATTATTGCCTAATAAGTTTGACTCATTTTTCCTCCGGTTTTACCAGATATGCAGACTGAAATCATTCTCTCACGGAGAGAACGGGACGGAGTTAATAGGAAAAATTGTAAATAAAATTACAAAATTATATATAGTATCCTACTTCTTATTACCCAAAATGTGGACGCGAAAGATCTATTATTGTATTCGTGTGTTACACCTTGATGAGAACGGCGCAACAGATAAAAGTCGATAAAGTGCAACAACTCCGCAATCCCAGATGGAAATTCGGTTGCACTGTGGCTTTCATATATGTTACGTGTAAGCGAATTCAACAAATTGCACTCGACGCGTCCAAAATTACCGACGGTATCTACAACGACGCATAACTTCGTACAACGACGAGAATCATTTTAACCCTACAATGCGCACACGGGTTAAATTTATATAGAATCTAATCTCTTTATCTTTTACACAGAACTAATTTCATTCACATTTTCAGTACTCTTTCGATAGTACATACCTATTGAGAAGTAGATCCAGAAATCCATCTTGAAAAAGGAAACTATAGCATATATAAAATTGGAGATATATACATATTATATATATATGTATATATATCCAGTATTATACATATATGCTACAGTTGTATGTATATATAAATACATATACATACATATGTCATATATACATATAAATATATAGTATGATATATATGTATCTCATGAAATATATATTATATACGTATGCTATATATATTTGTATGTATGTAATGAACATATGATCTATTAATGTATTTACAGTTTATATTTATATATTATATACATATAAACTGTACTTATAAATATCTCCAAAAAGCAACCACAAAATATAGAACAATCTTACAAAGCGACATAATGTTTAGATTTTGCAAATCGTGAAACAGCTACTTCTTTACTCTACCTTATACTTTTTTGTTATGTACATAGTTAGTTTTTTCACAGGGAGAGGTAAAATAATTTACTTTTCCTAGCGCCCTCTAATTCCGAGAAGAAATCATGAATCATTCAATTTTTGTCGAAACGAGTACGTGATTGGAAACGCAATTTTAAAAAAAAAAAAAAAGGATATTCCAGAGACAGAGGAAGGTATCCATTTCCATTAGATTTCCACGCCTAATTCAGTCACTACCCAGAATCTCCTCGAAAGAGTAATATTTATTTCCGCTATGTTTTCTTCAAAGTATCCTCTTTGTTACCCAGCGCAGTGTAGAGTTAATCCACGCACATCGAGGTCAACCGATCGAATTCGTCGCTTAATTTACCTCTCGAATTCATAGCGCGTGAAATAACTGATCGTGCATTCCTGAAACGGAACGGCCCTATAACTTCATCTACGACTAGTTTAATAACATTCTTTTGTACCACAAAGTGCGACCGAGCGCCGGTATTCATCTTTTCACATTCCTTTTCCTTTTTTTTTCTTCAAAAATTCAAAGAACGTGGGCGCAACGGCAGGTATCCATGATTGCTTAGAAAGCGTCGAGCGGCGCGAGTCATCTCAAGCTGGTCCCGGGTACGACCGCACGCCACCGTTACCCATTGTGCTTCCAATTGTGCCTACAAACAAGAGGAAAGAAGTCTTTCAATAATTGCAAATTTAACACGCGCCAGCAATGCATTTGTAATAACAATTGGTCATATTGACCATATTGTAATGTAAGACTTATTTGATTTTTAAGAAAATATTCTTCTTAACTGCGTAAGCAATCACAGGTATAATACTCTCTCTCTTTTACAGATATAATATAATATTTATACAATATTAGATAGAATTATAGTTAGTTGTAATTTTAGCTAAATTGATTCTTCTAAATTAGATCTTGAAACTTGATTATGAATTAACGTTCGTAGGTATAAGAAATTGTGTAAAAAAAAGGACAGTGTTAAATAAAAAACTCACCTTGGTGCGTTTTACCGGCCTGGAAGGCAGAGGGCTGAAGATACAATAAGGACTGTCGAATGCGTCAAACGTGATTGCTCTCTTGGCATTCGGCTTCCGTTGTTGTACGGACGTAAAGTCGTGAGGAGTCTGGAAAGGATAGACACACTAGCTACAGCCGGCAAATAAGAGATGTTCTTAGAAAAAATAGAATTAGCTGTATATTTCGAAAAGTGAATTTGAAGGTACGAGAAGGGAAGAAACGACTTAAGATTGCAAGTAATTGACTAAAAGAGACAGATGAATCTTAAATGAGACAGATCGAAATTCATATTTTTCGAGAATTAAAGGATTGTGATGTGACATTTTATTGTATTCTCTTTTTGTGTTCAACATCTTTTCTGGAGAAAAAGAAAGAAAGAGAAGACTGCCCATAACTAGTGGAATGACTAGGCTCTTAGGTGAGGACTTAAAGGACGATTCTGGGCAAGGATTTTTGTTTGTATACTACTCCCTGTCTATGAGCTCAAGATTTTATCGGAATCGAACATCCTCTCAAATTATGTGAAATCATAATTTAAGAACCTCTCAATTACTTTCTCACTTTTCTACTGAATTTTATATTACAAGAAAAATAGAAGAGATCTATCTAAATTTTGTTTTGAATAAGGAAAAAAAACCTCGAGGAAGAAGGGTAAGAAAAATCGTAATACTTTATTCCAATAAGAACAAATGTCAAAATAAAAAAAAAAAGACTAGGCCTTCACATTTTAGATACGCGCCGTGCAACTAGAATTATTCTATCCAGCATAAATATCTTTGGATTGGGAAAAGATTGAGGTACTTTGGTACGCTAGGCCAGGCCTGTATAAGGAAAACGTCAGTTAGTGTATGCAATTTATTAGTTAGTGTATGCAATTAACATGCGACAACTCAATATATCATTAAAAAAAAAAGAAGAAAACAAGTACAAATAAATAATATAAAAATATTTACACAAATTATTTTATATATAAATATTAATATTAATAAAAATATTTAAAAACACTTTCTGCTCGTGCAGGGCTACATCTAGGAGTTGTTTTAAAGGACGAAGATTTGGCATGGATATGTCAACATATTCAAAATGACAAAATTTGTATAGGATCGATTGTATAATCCCTTCCCATGCTAATGTCGCATATTTTGCAAGCAATGTTATTAATACATATATTAGTCATTCGCGATTTATTATTAGAATCCATTCTCAGCAAAATTAATAAGACTGAAGCAAACAAAAACGAAACAAGATCGGTCATCTGCCGATTATATTTACAAGCTTACAACGAAATAATGAATAATTTAATTCTTCGAGTAAAAAAAAGTTGTAAGTGACCATAATTTTGGTAAGACCAACAACTGTATATATTATAAAGGTATGTGCATAAATAAATTTCAATGCTTTTTTTTTCATTTATATTGGTCACGATGAGTAACATAAACGTTTTCTCTCATTTTACGATGGATAAATTAATCTTTATAGTTTTAAAATAATAAAATTAATAGTAATAATTAAATAAACATAAATAATTAACGGCCAAGGTCTTGTGGCATTGGTACAAGTTTCAATAAATAGATCGAATGTTAGTTTATGTATAGTATTATACCTAAAATTAACAAGAATGATAATCTTTGGATTGGGCAATATTAAGCGACAAAAGGAATAAGCAGTAGAAGAAAAAATTCAGATTTATATCTTCTGCGCTAATTGGATTTTGTCTTCAAATAATGAATAAGAAGCGTTAAATAAATGAGATGTATGAAGATACAGACAAAAATTTAAGTACAAAGACATACAGCGTTGAAAGAAAAGTTAGAAGGCCGGCTAGCGTGTCTAAGGACGATTGGTACGAGAATAATACCAGGATAAGGCGGGTTGATTATGAATTTGATTTTGAGTACGTTGTTCTACCTTTGTGGGACTGGTTCCTGTCGTCAAAAAGCTATCTTCTAGTGCCATAGATGCAGGTGAGAACAATGTAGAAGCTTCCAAACTTTTACTCTATGATACAAAAAATAAATATACATTATCATCCGTCTGTATCACATTTCTCGAACTTTTAAGTGCATTCAAGAAACATGACAATTACAGTATCATTAACTTGCCTATTGCAGATGAAGTTGTGATTGATGTATATTTCTGGATTTATTTAATCAAAAGCATTTCGTAAAAGCTAATCACTTGTAACATTTGTGTTCATTGAATTCAATGGTAACGTGTAATTCCGTGATTGACTGATAATCAGCGTACGAATCCAACCATCAAAATTATCAATATTATTCCAATGGTAATGAGGGAATCTGACGATAAATATTAGCATCAATATTTTAACGTTATAGATTCCCTTGCAGGAATAAATTTATAATATATTATTAATAATTTTGAAAGACAAGCTATGCATCAATGAACACAAAATTACAAGTGATTTGTCTCAAGTAATTATCTGAGTAACATACTGGTGTTTCCACAAGGAAACTAATTTCGGAGTTATCCTGAGATGCCCAAGCTTGAGAAAGGGCCTTCCTCGCGCGTTTTCCTCCTGGTGCACTATTCTCTTTACCGCGCCTTCGTATCATACTACTGTAGCCCGAGTCTTGGTCCTGAATCGTACTCGTTCCAGCCTCGTTCTCGGTCTCTTGCTTTATTATTTCGGTCAATGCATCTAGACGACTAGGAGTAGCGGGCAACTGTGCCGCTCCGGTTCGTCGCTCGAGCTCAGCCAAAGCGTTTTTAAATGGGGTTGGTGTTCTTGGTGTATTACCGTCTGTAAAAAATTACAGTAGAAAGCGATCCTAGAAAAACCTTATATTTATAAAAATATCGTGCTTATAAGTGTTATCTGAGTAGAGATTTCGTGGGCTGTAAAAGATTATGATTCGCGAATTTACAATTCATTTGAAACTCGTAGTGACATACAAGAAAATTCTATGGAAGATTTGCCATTGAGGATTTACCGTTTTGACTTCTTCGGAAACCGGTAGGCTGCGGAGTCGTGAGCGGGCCGGGACTGCTTCCTTTGGGCGTACTTGCGCGCGGCCACGTCTCCGACGGACTCAGACTGTTCAGGAATTGCGAAGGACTGAATGGAAGTTGCTTGATAGGAGTCGAAGGAGTGATGTTTCCCGTTTGCATCTGTTGGCTCGTTACGATGTAATCCGACTGATTCCCACTGTCGGAGACGTCTATCCTCTGCAGCAAACTGTGCGCGTTTCTACGTCTACGTAATATAGGCGGAGGGCTACTCTTCTTATCCACGTGCTGCTCGGGTATATCCTCCAAATCTGGCATCGGCATCAGTTTTATCTCAGAGCTCTTCGAACCAGATGTTTCGTTTTGTATTTGTTGCAAGTTGAAATATCTGCGTAAAAAAAAGAAGAAAATTGAAAATTGCCCAGAGATATACATGATGGTCATTCGTTTCAAAGACGATATACTTAGATAATGACGAAACTGTCTCGGCTTTCGCTCGTGAAGATCCTCTCTTTAACGGAGACGCGCACTTTTCATTGCCGTGTGTATGCCTGTTTAGTTCCAGAGCGTTCTGGTATCCCGCCGTAGCATGGTGTTCCCAATTTCTGACCCAATCCAGATGCTCGAGATTCTGCGAGGAGCTACCCGCTGTTACTGTCGAACTGCTAGTCGAGGCAGTTTTCATCTGATTCTGATCATCTTCCAGAAGAAGCGTATCCGTTACAATAGTACCCTGTGTATTTTTTCTCTTGCCTCTGCCTAAATACAGTAAGTTGCGTTTATTTCGCCATGTTCTATCAAATCCAGCAGGCATTATGAACACAATCATTACATACAGTTCAATGACAAAGAACATATTTTATATTTATCACAATAAAATTTATATCCTTACTGCATCAAAATTATATTATTGCATCAAAATTTACCATGGTAAACAATACCTTTGGTCGCAATTCTTCCTTCTTCACCTTCATATTTTCTTCTCATCGTACTATTCCAATGATTTTTAATGGCATTGTCAGTCCTACCCGGTAAGAGCTTAGCGATTTTTGCCCATTGATTGCCGACTCTACGATGGGCATCAACGATTATTTTGTCTTCAGCCTCCGTCCATGCAGTTTTCTTTATCTCCGGATTCAAATGATTGTGCCATCGTTCTCGGCACTGTTTGCCAATCCGACCTTTAAGATGTCGCGCTATTAACGTCCACTTTTTCGGACCATACTTTCGTACAAGTTCTACCACTTTTTCATCTTCCTGTAAAATAGAAGAGTTTATAAAATATAATAAAGAAATGTGTAGCGAGATATATACAGGGTGTTTCCAAATTAAATGGCAAAACTTCGGGAGCGTGTAGAGGAGTAAAAAACTAAGAAAAAAAGTCCTATAGACATATGCTCGTTTTTGCTCCGTTTCAGAGAAATCGAAAAAAAATGTTTACATTTCTTGCCATATCTAGCACCGACATATTTGATTACATTTTCCACTTTCTGTTATGAATTTGTCAGTCGCTCTTTGAAAGCCTTTAACAGTAGATGAATTTTGTCTTTTGCAATATGCCGCGTACGTATTCTAATAGTGAATATGCTGATATGGTTTTTGTATACGGTTTCTGCAACGGTAATGCTTTAAAGGCGGTGCGAGAATATGCACGACGATTTCCAAACAGAAGAGTGCCAAACCGAAGAGTGTTTATGTTGACATTTAATAGATTGCGAGAGACTGGAACATTTTCAATTCGACAAGAAAACAACCGATTTCA